GAGGGAAGTGACCAGTGAGATAAGACAATGAATGAGGGCACTGAGGTGTGAGCAAGCGAACTCTAGCCTGGACTGCCTAGATTTATGTCGGTATCTGGGAAATCCATGAGAATGTCGGGGGAGGCAGCCCAGACCTGCTTTATGTAAATATCAAAGATAAAGGTGACTTCAGAGGACAGAGGGATTAGGGATATCTGCATCACACAGGGGAGACTTAAAATTAAAATTGTCCAACAGCCCTGGCCGGGTAGCTCAGTTGGTTAGTGTCATCCTGATACACTAAGGTTGTGGGTTTGATCCTAGTCAGAGCACATAAAAGAATTAACCAATGAATGCATATATAGATGAACAACAAATTGATGTCCCCCCCTTTCCTCTCTAAAATCAATCAATCAATTAATCGATTTTTTAAAAAGAGTTGTCCAGCAAAAGGTAGTGCTCTCTGGTCACTAGGAGAGTTCTCTGGGTAGCATCTGTTAAAGGTGTTGCAGGGGGAATTCTTGCATTGTTTAGGAGGCTGCACCAGATGAGCTCTAAGGATCTGGATGAATGAAACTCACTGCCTTTCCCTCTACCTGCCTTATTATGTCCTTTCATTCAAGGATCAACTTGGGTTGGCAAGAAGTCAATGTGCCTTAATACATTAATACTTACATAACATTACTTTTTAGAGGTCTGACTCTACTTTTCCATCCATCCATTTAACAAGTGTCTGTTTTGCTTCAGTCATTGTGCCACCCTTTGTGGGAACACGCTCGTTAATTAGGCATGATTCCTGCTGTTTTATGAGCTAACGTTTTGGTATACACGATGCTTATTCTAACAAGGGCTTTCTGAGTTAGGAATCTGCAGTCGTGGGGGTAGCGTCTGTGAACCTGGAGACCTTTGTTCTCACCCCAGCTTTGCCATGTGACCCTAGTAGGCACAGAACCTCTGTAAATCTCGAATTACCCATCTATAAAGTAAAGGTGCACAGCTCTTCTGGTTGTCACAGCTCCAAAGCCTATAAAATTCAGGCACGTGACCTAAGACATGAAGCAAGCAGATGTCTTGACACCTTAAGTGGAGTCCTCTAGAAATTCATTCTAAAAATACCAGGTCAGTACTTCTCCTCATTGTTAAGGTCATCAAAAGCAAGGAACGTCTGAAACACTGTCACAGCTAAGGGGAGTAACAGGGCTTCCTGAATGGGGTCCTGGGACAGAAGAGGGACAGTAGGAACAATGAAGGAGACCTGAATAAAGTATGGACTTTAGTTAATAACATTGTGTCAATATTGGTTCATTAATTGTGTGGATGAAAGGGGCCACATGCTAACCTGACAAGCTCAGGGAAGGCCTGCATGGCTGTCTTGCAAACTCAGAGACCTAAAGTAACCACAAAGGATGGTCTGAAATTAAACTTTAACTAAAAGCAGTTATGGTGGGTAGTTACATCCTAGGCTGGTATCTTCACTGACAAGGTCAACCTTTACCTTAACTGAGCCTATCTGTCTTTTTGCATCTATAATCTATAATAACATACCCTTGAAATGTCTGGGTAACTTGTAACTTCCCTTTTTCTGGAGCCCCTGGGGCACAACCTAATGTGCTGGGTGCCAGGACAGATACCACAAATTCCTTCATTATTATCGTGTTAATTGTTCCTGCACCCACCTAAGGGTGTGTCTGTCATTTTACTTTATATCCAATCCCAGGGGTTTTCCCACTTTGCTTTCTCCCACCTCTCTAGTCTATCACCAGTGGATTTCATGTAACCCCCCTACATCCCTTTCCTTTGATTGCAATGTATAAATACAGATGTAACCCACCATTCTCCAGAGCATTATCTCAATTGGAGGTTCTGCTTCCCAGCATATGTCGACAGTTTGGCTCAAATAAACGCACAAAAATTATTTACAGGTTTCAATGGTTTTTTTACATTAACAATTGTGACGAATATAGTGTAAGATGTTAATACAAAGGGAAACTGGGTGGGGAGCATAAGGGAACTGTCTGTACTCTGTAATTTTTCTGTAAGTCTAAAACTCTTCTGAAATAAAAAGGTTATTCACATGTATTTAACATTTAACAGTAAGGGATTTAACATTTCTTGTAGTGGCAGTAGTAATAACTTCCAAAGCTATTCATAAGAGGTAAGAAAAGGTTGAAGATTTATTGTACTCACTTCTTCATCTAACCCAGTGGTTCTCAACCTTCTGGCCCTTTAAATACAGTTCCTCATGTTGTGACCCAACCATAAAATTATTTCCGTTGCTACTTCATAACTGTAATGTTGTTACTGTTATGAATCGTAATGTAAATATCTGATATGCAGGATGGTCTTAGGCGACCCCTGTGAAAGGGTCGTTCAACCGCTGAAGGGGTCGCAACCCACAGGTTGAGAACCGCTGATCTAACCTCTTCTTAACATTGCCTGTTTCGCATAAACATATAATATGAATTATCCTCATTATCGAGATTTCAAATGTGCTGACATTTATAAATAGTTGAATCAAAATTATTCCTTACTAGAGGCCCAGTGCATGAAATTTGTGCTTGGGAGAAGGGTGTCCCCCAGCCCGGCCTGCACCCTCTTGCAATCCGGAACCCCTCGGGTAGGGTCCCTAGGCTTGGCCTGCGATCAGAGCCTATCAGGGCTTTCCTTCCCCTGGCTGCTGGCAGCTGGCCCCGCCCCCTCTGCTGCCACTGCTTGCCATCTGTGTGGCACTGCCACCAGTTGCCTCCCTCTGCGGACAACAGGCGTGGGGTGTGATCACTTGGCCGCCCGGGCCTCCCTCTGCAGGGCGATCGCTGGCCAGCCCACACACCTGCCACAGCGTCACTGGCCGGTGGTTTGGGCCTCCCTCCATGGGGCAATGGCAGGGCCCCCTGACCAATTGCATTGCATCCAAATAAATAAATAAATAAATAAATAAATAAATAAAATTGCATTGTACCCGCCTTGGCTGGCCTGGCGCCAGTGCATGTCATAGCATGGTTGTCTGGAATCTCGTCCGGATGGTCATTCTGCCATTTGGTCGTTCAGTCAATTTGCATATTATACTTTTATTATTATAGATGTTATCTGGAGCAATCTCTTAATTCTTACTTTGACATTTTAAGATCAAGGAGTAATTAGACAGTGACACCAAAGCACTGCTCAGTGTATAATTAATCTTTCCAAATTAGGCTGAAAAGCCAATTAATCATTCCTAGAAATAAGGATAAACTTTTGAAATGGTATCCATCCCTGCCTGTTACTACTCTGATTTTATTTAATTGGGTCTCTGTATTCAGAAATGGCAGCAAGCTTGCATTCCTTGAGTTCTGGCTAAGGGTGTGTGTGAGCGTGTGTGCGCGTGTGCGCACACACACACACACACACACACACAGGAAATTCCATTTTCCACTTAGATTGGAAAAGATAAAAAAGTTGAAAAAAAACATGGTTGGCACAGACCTCTTTATTTTTGTTTATTTTGAGAGAGAGAGGAATTGAGAGAAAGAAACATCAATGTGAACTGAGACATGGATTGCTTAATTTAAATTTTTTGTAGTTTGAGGTTTTTAAAATTTTTTAAATTTTTTTATTGATTTCAGGGGGGGGGAGAGAGAGAGAGAGAGAGAGAGAGAGAGAGAGAGAGAGAGAGAGAGAGAGAGAGAGAGGCATCAATGATGAGAGAGAATCATTGATCAGCTGCCTCCTGCGCACCCCCTACTGGGGATTGAACTGTGACCTCCTGGTTCATTGGTTGGCACTCAGCTACTGAGCCACACAGGCCAGGTTTTGTTTTGTTTTTAATATGTCCATTTGACTTTTCAATGTAAAACAAAACAAAACTGTTTATTTTTGATATATTTCTTTATTGATTTCAGAGAGGAAGGGAGAAGGAGATGGAGAGATAGAAACATCAATGATGAGAGAGAATCATTGATTGGCTGCCTCCTGCACGCCCCACACTGGAGATCGAGCCCGCAACCCAGGCCTGTGCCCTTGGCCGGAACCGAACCTGGGACCCTTCAGTCCTCAGGCTGACGCCCTATCCACTGGGCCGAGCCGGCTAGGGCAAAAACTGTTTAAATATTGTAAGATTTCCTTGCCAAAAATGAACAGGCAACTTTTTTTTTAAATATAAAAAGAGACATATTTCTGGCTGCTCAGTGCTTGACTGAGAATTTTGTGTGTTGGAGGCAGCTGGATGCAAACCACAGTATTTCCTCAATTTTGTTTTAAACAGGTTTGCTGTGCTTGAGGCAGAATGTTTCTGTGAGTCAAAGAAGCACACACCCAAACAAGGTGTGCTTATGCTTTCAGAGTTTTATTGAACATGTTTATTAGGAGGTACACTTTATGTGTGTGCTTTACATTTCAGATGTAATATCAATTTGGTCTGAAGTATCAACCTGTCATTACTTTCAGGATAATAGCTTAGCTAATAGGAAGTGACAATTAAAATCATATTTTAAAAGTCCTTCCCTAAAGTTTTGGCATTGTGCATATATTACGTAGTCCTTGGAATAATAATGCCACCAGGAAAACTTGGTTCTTCTTCCAAAATAGCCTTAAGAGACAATGATAAAAAGGACAAGAGGGAGATTTTACCTCAAACAGGCCATCTGAAGACCATTTCAAGAAATTGGAATTTCAAGAAGTTTGGAACAATTTGGAGCAAATAATGATAATATATTAAGTTTAAAAGATGTGGTAAATAACATTTATGTTCATATTTCAATTTTGTAAAACAAAATAAACTGTCCATATGTACATTTAATATATATATATCTATATATCTATGTATCTATATATCTATATCTATATCTATCTATATCTATATATATTTTATGACTTCACAGAGAGGAAGGGAGAGGGAGAGAGAGAGGGAAAGGAACTTCAATGATGAGAGAGAATCATTGATCGGCTGCCTCCTGCACGTCCCACACTGGGGATAAAGCCCCCCACCCGGGCATGTGCCCTGACTGGGAATTGAACCGTGGCCTTCTGGTTTGGTTCATAGGTCCACGTTCAACCACTGAGCCACGCCATTAATCATGGAGTAATAATCCCATTTCCAACTCCAGTCCGTCTGCCTCTCCTACACCAAGCAGCTTCGGAGGGCTTTAGGCCACTGGGAGTTTGTGGACTTGGGGAAAGTACTTGGCTGCCAGCTCAGAGGACCCTGCAGGAACTTCTTGGGCCCCTGTGAGAGGTCAACTCTGGCCCATATAGAGGACTGCATCTGTGGAACCCTGGAAGCCAAGGAGCTGAACAGGTAGGCTGAGTGGGGGGCCATCACCTGAAGAAATGAAAAGCAGTGGTTACCAAGAGAAATGGGAAATGGGTGTTGGGAAGGCCATGACTAAATCTGCTGTGGGAAGCAGTCATTTAAAAATATATATATTTTTATTGATTTCAGAGAGGAAGGGAGAGGGAGAGAAACATCAGTGATGAGAGAATCATTGATTGGCTGCCTCCTGCACGCCCTCTACTGGGGATCGAGCCCACAACCCGGAAATGAACCTGGGACCCTTCAGTCCGTAGGTCAGCCGTGGGCAAACTACGGCCTGCGGGCCGGATCCAGCCCGTTTGAAATGAATAAAACTAAAAAAAAAAAAGACCGTACCCTTTTATGTAATGATGTTTTAATATATTTTATTGATTTTTTTTTACAGAGAGGAAGGGAGAGAGATAGAGAGTTAGAAACATCGATGAGAGAGAAACATCGATCAGCTGCCTCCTGCACACTCCCCACTGGGGATGTGCCCGCAACCCAGGTACATGCCCTTGACCGGAATCGAACCTGGGACCTTTCAGTCCGCAGGCCGACGCTCTATCCACTGAGCCAAACCGGTTTCGGCTATGTAATGATGTTTACTTTGAATTTATATTAGTTCACACAAACACTCCATCCATGCTTCTGTTCCGGCCCTCCGGTCCAGTTTAAGAACCCATTGTGGCCCTCGAGTCAAAAAGTTTGCCCACCCCTGGGTTAGACATTTATATCATTTATGAAGTAATACCCCTGATGATTCTAGTACCCACCTGATACCATACATAATCATTACAATATTATTGACTGTGTTCCCCATGCTGTACTTTTCATCCCCATGACTGTTTTGTAACTACCAATTTGTACTTCTTAATCCCTTCACCTTTATCACCCAGCATTAAAGGTCTCATTCTTATTGATGTTTTTCAGGTCGCCAATCAGAACTAGCCAGTGAGAAATTAAGCAAGTGTCTCTCATGATAAGTGTTCAGTTGAAAAGCCAGGACTATAATTCAGGACTACATTCCATTCTATTACTAGGTCAGAAGCAGGCAATACGTGACTTGGACGCTGGTGTTTGGTATATATCTTAGTTGTCTCAAGTGGATGTCCTGTCTACTCTAACTTCTTACCTTCTGCTCTCCTATTTCTTCATACCGATAGGTGAGAGATCACTGCGGGGAGGGGGGAGGGGGCTGGGAAAGAGCTCATTTACACACATACTGTGGTGCAACAAATGGATTGTGACACCTGCATATCTTGAACACAAAAGTATCTTCACAGTCATTGTTCACTTGGTGTATAAAATGCTAACATCCTTTGGCTTGTTGGAGTGGGCCTTGGGGCTTTCGGGTAAAGGTATTGTTTAAAGTAACCGGCATTATTTCCTTTATTATTGAGCAACCTAAAGATGTAGATTACTGTGGCCTCTCAGCTCAGTTAGCCCATTTCTATTGTTTACCTGTCTTTGTCTTATAGAAATGTTTGCAGTTTTTATTATATTGGAAATAACCTATTCTGCAAACTACTAAACGGAAACAATTTATAAACTTGCCTAATCCTCTGTATAAGGTAGCTTTAACAATTCTATATACATCTTTAAAAACAGAATGCAAGCTAGAATCTAAATTATGGCATTCTATCTTGAAGCATTATTATTTTCCGAGGGGTGACTATAAAAAGATGACTATCTTTTTCCCCTCTCCCTTATAGATTCTGATGGCCTTTTTTCTTTTTAAATTGATTTTTAGACAGAGAGGAAGGGAGAGGGAGAGAGAGGAAGAGAGAGATCAAAACATCGATAATAGAGAGACACATCTATTGGCTGCCTCCTACATGCCTCCTACTGGGGATCGGGCCACAACCCAGGCATGTGCACTGGCCGGGAATTGAACTGGCAATCTTGCAGTGCACGGGATGACGCCCAACCCACTGAGCCACACCAGCCAGGGCTCTGACGATCTTTTAAGACTTTGTCATTAGGAACCTTCTGTGTGATCTTGGGAGTGCAATTGGAAATATCCCAAAGGCGTAAGACAGCCATGCCTTTCTCAGCTCATAAAGCAGAGAGGACATAGCATCCAGTCTAACCTTTCCAAGTGATATTTATGCATCTCAATCCCACCGGGATTTTGCAAACTCTCAGAGGTTCCATGGCTGGTTAGGGTCTGGCCAAGCTGGGCAACCAGAGCTGAGCTAATATAATCAAGCCTGGAAGTAAAATTTCATTTTCAATTTATTTGTAAAAGCATTATTGTAGGCCGCTTCCAGTATAAAATCACACTGTGGTAGGCGGAAGAGTGGCCCTCCAAAAATGTGTCCATCCTAATTCCAGGAACCTGTGAATATATTGCCTTACGTGGTGTCTTAGTCTGTTCTGGCTGCTGTAACAAAATTCCATAGTTTAGATGACCCATACACAACAGAAATTTGTTTTTTATAGTTCTGAAGGCTGGGAAGTCCAAGATCAAGGTGCTGGTAGAGTCAGAGAACTTGCTTCCTGGTCCATAGACAGCTGGCTTCTTGCTGTGTCCTCACATGGTGGAAGGAGCGAGGGAACTCTTTAAAAAAATTTTTTTTAATTGATTTCAGAGAGAGGAAGAGAGAGAAACATCAGTGATGAGAGAGAATCATTGATCAGCTGCCTCCTGCACACCCCCTACTGGGGATCAAGCCTGCAACTCGGGGATGTGCCCTGAATGGGAATCGCACCCTGACCTCCTGGTTCATGAGTCGATGCTCAACCACTGAGCCACACCATCTGGGCATGAGGGAGCTCTTTTATAAGAGCTCTTAATTCGTGAGGGCCCCCCTCTCATTACCTAATCACCTCCCAGAGGCCCCATCTCCTAATACCATCATGTTGGGCATTAGGTTTCAGCATATGAATTTGGGGAGGGGACACAAACATTCAGCCTATAGCACATGGTAAGAGAGATTTCACAGATGTTGCTAAATTAAGCACCTTGAGAAGGGGAGATTACCCTGGATTAACCAGGGTGGGCCCAGTGTCATCACAGGAGTCCTTATGCGAGGGAGGGAGGAGGGTCAGAAGCAGAGGAGACAGAGTGCGAAACCTGGTGTTGGAGTGGTGTGCTTTGAAGATGGAGGAAGGGGCCATAAGCTAAGGAATAGGGGCAGCGTCTAACCCAGTGGTTCTCAACCTGTGGGTCACGACCCCTTTGGGGGTCAAATGACCCTTTCACAGGGGTCGCCCAAGACCATCGGAAAACACATATATAATTACATATTGTTTTTGTGATTAATCACTATGCTTTAATTATGTTCAATTTGTAACAATGAAAATACATCCTGCATATCAGATGTTTACATTACAATTCATAACAGTAGCAAAATGACAGTTATGAAGTAGCAACGAAAATAATTTTATGGTTAGGGGTCACCACAACATGAGGAACTGTATTAAAGGGTCGCGGCATTAGGAAGGTTGAGAACCACTGCTTCTAGAAGTTGGACACAGCAAGGAAATAGCTTCTTCCTTAGAGGATTCAGAGTAGACATTGATTTTAGCCCAAAAGACCTATTTTGGACTTCTGAACCTCCAAAATTTTAAGATAACCAATTTGTATAGTGGTGAGCAAACATGCATGCATGCATGCATACATACATACATACATACATACATACATAAATAGCATTGTTGTAGGTTCTTCCCCCGGCCCAGGAAATATATTGGTAGATTAAGGCAGGAACAAGAAGCAAAGAGTCCTGAATTCCACAGAAGGTGAATGTCCTGCTTGACTGTAGCCTGGCCAGCTGTTGGAAGAATAAGTTGTCCTGACCAGTTTGGCTCCTGTGAACTAAAGAGTCATAGGATCGATTCCTGGTCAAGGGCATGTACCTGGGCTACAGGTTCTGCCATTATCCAAGGCCCCCTGTCTGAGGCGCATGCAGGAGGCAATCAATCAACGTGTCTCTCTCAAATCAATGTTTTCAATGTTTCTCTCTCTCTCTCCCCCTCCTCTGTCCCTTGTACTCGCTCTAAAATTAATGGGGAAAATATCCTCAGGTGAGGATTTAAATTAATGACCAAAGAAGTGTGAAACAAGGAAAATTTTTCAAAAGCTAGAACTGTGGCCAGGATTTCTGGTCATGCAGACAAGCACTTCATAAGGCAAAAGTGACAATACTGCTTTAGGAAAATGATGACAATATACCTCAAGGTTTACTTTCTTGTGGATGGAGTAAGCCTTCGTTAATTCTTTCAAACTATCACTCTTTTTAACTCTCCGGCTCTTTTAAAGTCGATACTCTAGGTTTAAATAAATCTATTGTGAGAAATCATAAAATAAATGAAATGATAATAACTGAATGTAATTAAGAAAAAAAACCTGGACTATTCTCCACATGGAAGCAAAAACTCCTGTTCAAAGGAAATATGGGTCAACCAATTTGTTCGACTCTACTAGTTCTAGCTAGAAATGCTTTTCAAAAACTAATTAGGTATGCATTTTGACTTTTCTGTAGGCTGATCTTGGCTACAGTTACATCGTTAGGAAGACTGGAGCAATCTCCTCAGTGAACTGAGACCGCCTCCTTCCTGGGGTTATTTTGTACCAGCAGTGCTATTGGCAGTATTCCATTCCAGTATGTTAAATGTTATTCCTTTTGTGGTATATGGGGTTTCTATTGTGCATTGTCTTCAAGCTCCATGGGATGCAGGGAGTGGCTTGCTCAAACATAGCTCAGTAACAAAGGGCTGCTCATATTGATGAGAACTGGGGAATGCCATGTGGGCTCTGGAGACAAACTGGTTCAAATCCCAGCTCTACCACTTTCTACCTGTGTTACCTGTGGCATGTTACTTAGCCTCTCTGTGCCTTCCTTTCCTTATCTGTAAAATGGGGGCAATAACAGTGCCCACTTCATAGGGTGGTTGTGAAGATTAAAATTAGTTCATTAATGTCCAGAATAGGCAAATACAGAGACAGATAGTAGAATAACGGCTTCTAGGTGCTGGTGTGCTTGGGGAGAAAATGAAAAGTGATTACTAGTGGGGACAGAGTTTCCTTTTGGGGTGATGCAAATGTCCTAAATTTGAATAGTTGCACAGCTCTGTGAATATACTAAAAACCATTGAATTGTAGATTTTGAATGGGTGAATTATACGGTATGTGAATTATATCTTAACTAGAGGCCTGGTGCACAAAATTCATGCACCGGGGGGGGGGGCATCCCTCAGCCCAGCCTGCACCCTCTCTCAGTCTGGGAGCCCTTGGGGGATGTCTAACTGGGAGCGGGCCTAAGCCAACAGTCGGACATCCTTAGCACTGCAATGGAGGAGGGAGAGGCTCCTGCCACTGCTGCTGCGCTCGCCAGCCGTGAGCCCGGTTTCTGGCTGAGCAGGGCCCTACCCTCCCCTGTGGGAGCACATTGACCACCAGGGGGCAGCTCCTGTGTTGAGCATCTGCCTCCTGGTGGTCAGTGCACATCATAGTGACCAGTCATTCCACCATTTGGTCGATTTGCATATTAGCCTTTTATTATATAGGATAAAGTGGTATAAAAATGAGTCACATAAAATGCTTAGGACATTGTCTACACAAAGTAAGAGCATTATAAATGTTAGTTATTATTGTTATTATTATTATCACTAGAATGTGTCTCCCACTGAGCTTATTAGAGTCTATTCTGCCATTACCCAAGCCACACACTGTTCTTTCTAAGGCTCCTTTGGGGCCCTGACTTGTGTCTCTTTGTTCTTGTATTAGGGTTCTCCAGAGGAAGAGAACCTATATCTATAACGCAGACCTATTCATAACAAAATAAGGAGGAAATAATCATGGCACTTATGGTCCTCACTTCTGTAACTGGTTACATGGTTGTAGCTGGTATTAATAACTACCTTCTACCACCCATTGTGTATTCCCTTCGCCTTCAGTAAGCACCTCAGCTGGTCATGGTTCTTTACCTGGCAGGTGACTCAAACCTTCTTCCTGAAGGGTCTGGGTCAGTAGTCAACCTGCCTGGACTGGATTGTTGTTCTCCATTGACCTTGATCATGGGACATGGTAATATGAAGAAACACTCTGCGGGATTGCAGACATTCTCTTCCTTTTGTTCCCTGTGGAATGGCAGTCCCATTTCCCTTTGGTGGTCAGGATCAAACACCCAACATTGTAACTCCTTTGCCTGTGGATTCAGAGGCATGAGGAAGCCAGAGTGGCCGGTGGCAGGCTTAACTTCCCATTCAGTGGAATCATTGTTGTGTCTCCTGGTGGAAGCATTTTTTCCCTCTGAAACTAAGACTTCAAGGCCAGCAAAGTATGATGTTGTGGGAACAGGAAGCAAATATGTTGCTAGTAGGTCACTTGGGGTAATAGCGAGTGGTGCCATTCCCACCCATTTCCACCCTTTGGTTCCTGGATCAGTGAATCCAGGCTATTGGAGAGATAGCACCATATATTAGATACTGACTCAGAGCATATATAGCTTTCTGGAGAACCTTGCCCCAGCCCTACAAGGCATAGCCAGCTAGCTGGCACTATAACTGAGTCTTTTAAAGGCTGGCCCACCATTCTTTCGAGCCAGCTGCTCCAGGATGGTGGGGAACATTGGTATGACCAGTGAATTTCATGAGCTTGTTCCATTGCTGCACTTCTTTTGTTGTGAAGTGATCAGAAGCAATGCTGTGTGGAACACCATGATGGTGGATAAGATATTCTGTAAGTCCATGGATGGTGGATTTGGCAGAAGCATTGCATGTAAGGAAGGCAAGTCTGTATCCGCAGTAACTGCCTGTTGCAGTTAATGACAAAACGCTGCCCCTTCCAGGATGGAAGTGGTCCAATGTAATCAACCTGCCACCAGATGGTTGGCTGAGCACCCAGACAGAGAATAGTTTATATCCAGGGCTGGCAGATTGGGCACTTGGCAGTGACTGTGGCCAGGTCAGCCTTGTTGAGTAGTTCATGCTACTGAGCCCATCCGTAAGCTCCATCCTTGCCACCGTGGCCACTTTGTTCATTAGCCCATTGGGTGATGACAGGAGTGGGCGGGGAAACGGGCTGACTGGTCGCCCCAGAAAGGGCCACTGGCTCCACTTGATTATCAAACAAGGAGGCTCTGCTCAGGTCACTCTTGGTGAACATTCATATGAGACACAAATATCTTCATATTTTTTGATCATTCAGAGAGGTCCATCTACATACCTTTTCCCCCAGATTTCTTTGCTACCAATTCTCTTTTTTAAATGTATTTTTATTGATTTCAGAGAGGAAGGGAGAGGGAGAGAAAGATAGAAACACCAATGATGACAATCATCGATGGGCTGCCTCCTGCATGCCCCACACTGGGCATGGAGCCTGCAACCCAGGCATGTGCCCTGACTGGGAATCGATCTGTGGCCTCCTCATTCATTGACTGATGCTCAACCACTGAGCCATGCCAGTTGGGCGCTACCAATTTCCAATCATGTTCCTTATAAATCTGTGACTATCCACCCAAACCATGACTACAGACTGTGAATTGATATGTAATTTCACGTATGGTCATTCCCCCTTCCAAGAAATATAAACAACCAGATGAACTGCCTGAAGTTCTGACCACTGGAAGGACTTCCCTCCATCATTATCCTTCTGGAATATCCCAGAAAGGGATTGTAGTGCCACAGCTGTCCACTCTCAGGTAGTACCTGCATATCATACAGAACCATCTGCAACGGAGGCCTGAGTCTTTTCTTCCTCTGTCAACTGGTTATAGGGCTCTCCCCACAAAGTCATAGATGCTGCCTGGGAAAGAGAAGGCAATGTGGCAGGAGTGGGGACCCCGGGCATTTGGGCCACTTCATCATGTAACGTGCCTTCAGGGCCTGTGCCGGCTGATCACACATATACACTTCCGTTTGATGACCAAGTGTCGCTGTGCACCCAACTTAATCGCTTGGTGGGCCACACATCCAGTGCATGATGGGAAGCTCAGAGTGCCTGGTAACTTGATGGCCCATGGTCATGTTCAAGTCTCTACTGAGGCCCAGTAGCAGACTAAGAGCTATTTTTCAAAATAAGAGTACCTATGGATGATAGCAGGGTCTTGCTCCAAAATCCAAAAGGTGTTGTGATTCATCCTTCCTCCACCTTTTCGTTATATTTGGGCCTCAACAGATTAGATGATGCGCACCCACAGTGGTGAGGGTGATCTTCTTTCCTCAGTCTACTGATTCAAATGCTGATTGCTTCCAGAAACGCCCTCATAAGCATACCCTTAAATGATGTCTTACCAGCTATCTGAGCATTCCTTAGCCCAGATAAATTGATGTATAAATCCCACGTGGTAACCATTGGCCACATGTGGCTGTTTAAATTAAAATTTAAAATTCTGTTTCTAAGTCACACTCACTCTATTTCAGGTGCTCAATAGCTAGTGGCTACCATGTTGAAAAGCACAGATAGTGAACATTTCCATCCAGTGACCAGTGTTGCTTTGGAGAATAAAACCAAGGCATGAAAACATGATCTGACTTCACAGAGATCACAGGATAAGCCTGTGGAACCAGAATCTTAATCTCAGAATATTTGACAGTGGCAAAATGACAGAGGGCCAAGGAAGGGGTGTAGTGTTTTTAAAACTTCAGCTGGCCTCTTTGGATCCATATTTTGGTATTTGCATGCAATTCCAGCTCCTCCCCAGCATCATGATTCTCAAAAGCTTCCTGCACAGCTTCCTTCTCATGTGGAGGATCCCAATTTTCCTTATGAAGTTGCTAAACCTTCTGAGAATCTGATGCAAGTATTATGACCAGTCTCTACCCAACCCAATTCCTTTTTCTATGAATTAAATGAAGTACTGGAGAAAAGATGTGAAGATATGATTATAGTTTAGGGCTCTCCATTAAGCAAAGATCACTTATCTGTTTCCACAGACAAATAAAGTTCAAATGAATCCATTTTCTGGAAAGATGGGAATAGATGTAGCCCATAGTTCTGAGTTTTGTGTGAGTGAGAATCAACTTTACAGCCAATTCTGATAGCACTCACATGGCTCTATATTATAATAATTATTGCTAACATTTACTGGGGGTGTTACTGTGTATCAGGCACTTTGCTAACTGCTTTGTATGCTTTATTTAATGACTAGTGACCAGGTGCACAGATTCATGCACATTGAAAGGAAATCAGAAGAAATATTTTTTTTTAAAAATATATTTTATTGATTTTTTACAGAGAGAAAGGGAGAGGAACAGAGAGTTAGAAACATCGATCAGCTGCCTCTTGCACATCTCCCACTGGGGATGTGCCCGCAACCCAGGTACATGCCCTTGACCGGAATCGAACCTGGGACCTTTCAGTCCGCAGGCCGACGCTCTATCCACTGAGCCAAACCGGTCTCGGCCAGAAGAAATATTTTAATATCGCTATTTGCCCTTTCTCTGTAATAGAAGTATCAACCAAATTCACAATCAACAATGACAGATTGAAACACACGCATGCAATTGGCACCATGTAGATCACGCAGGGAGAACAAAGGGTAAAATATATTAACTGCAGCAGTGTTTGACTATATTCTGTGCAGTGAGAAAACCTGAAGTCATTTTCAAGGTCCACCATTTCTTACTTCTTTGCAGTTGGGTCAAGTTTCTAAACATTGTA